GATCAGTGTTTCCTATTCCCACAATAATAGTACTGAATCATACTTTCTATTTTTATTTATTTATCTTATTATTTATTTGAGAGAGAGAGAGAGAGTGTGCACCGGAGCACAAGTGGGGGAGAGGGGAGGGACACAAGCAGACTCCCCACTGAGCGCAAAGCCTGACACCGGGCTCCATCTCAATGACCCTGAGACCACGACCTAAGGCAAAACCAAGACTCAGACGCTTAACTGCTGCGCCACCCAGGTGCCCAGAGAGAGAATCTTAAGCAGGCTCCACACCCAGAGTGGAGGGGGATGCAGGGCTCCAACTAATGACATTGAGATCACGACCTGAGCCAAAATTAAGAACTGGACACTTAGTGAACTGAGCCATCCAGGTGCCCTTGAATCATACTTTTTTAAAAAAAGTTCCCTTTATAATTTGCTTTCAATTTTTCTAATCATGTCTAGGGTCAGGTTCTATTTGGTGTTAGCATATCTTTTCAACACCTCTCTCATACTTGCTAATCTCTTGAACAAAAAGAAAGCTGGCCTTAAGCTAGAATTTAATAACATTGCTTTGTTATTGCTGCATTTATTTCCATAGTTACCTTTAAATTATGGCAAGTGATACTGGTTTCCATACATGGTGGTGACTTAAAAATTAATTTTAATTTTTAAAAATTAAATTTAAAATTTAAATTTTAAAAATTGATCTTTAAAAATAAATAAATAAATAAATAAATAAAATTAATTTATGGGGGGCCTGGGTGGCTCAGTTGGTTAAGCAACTGCCTTCGGCTCAGGTCATGATCCTGGAGTCCCGGGATCGAGTCCCACATCGGGCTCCCTGCTCAGCGAGGGGCCTGCTTCTCCCTCTAACCCTCCCCACTCTCATGTACTCTCTCTCTCTCTCACTCTCACTCTCTCAAAATAAATAAATAAATCTTTAAAAAAAATTTAATTTATGGGGCGCCTGGGTGGCTCAGTTGGTTTAGCATCTGCCTTCGGCTCAGGTCATGATCCCGGGGTCCTGGGATTGAGCCCTGTGTTGGGCTCCCTGCTCGGTGGGGAGCCTGCTTCTCCCTCTCCCTCTGCTACTTCCTGCTTGTGCTCTCTCTCGTGTCAAATAAGTAAATAAAAATCTTAAAAAAAAATTTTTAATAAAAATATATTTATATCACTTTTAAAAGGGGGGGTTAATTAACTAATTAATTTTTAGTGAGCTCTACACCCAATGTGAAGCTTGAACTCATGACCCCATGATCTAAAGTCCCATGTTCCTCCAAATGAGCCAGCCAGGCACCCCAAAAGGGGAGTAAGTTGGAAAAGAACATAAAGTAGATGATCTACTACATGGCAAAAATTATGAAGGCAGCACTAGAAGTTTGGGAAACACTGGGCCGGAAGATTATTAAAGTCCCCTCAAACCTGAAAGTAAGTGCTGGTCCCTAGAGTGTCAGGCTATGATCCTCCCCTGCCCCCTTCCTTCCTACTGGCCTGCAGCTTGCAGGTGCCTCTCAAACTTCACTTCCTCCCTGGAGCTTCTTCCAATTCAGCAGCCTGACTAAAAGTCATACCCTCCATTCTGCTCCCAGGTCATGTTCTTCATCCATGGATTGTAGCATTTATTACCCAGTACTATAACCCTCTCTTTATGTTTATCCCCCCTCTAGAACATGAGCTCCTTGCAGACAGGAATTATGTCTTGGCGTTTTATCCCTAAAACATCTATTAAGATGTTCTGTGGCTGGAACAAAATAGGTGCTTGAGGAATGTATGCTGAATAAATGAACCAATGCCTGGGCCCTTTTTTCACTGAATAGAAAGACAAAAGACAGTGGAAGAAGAGCATTACTAGAGATTCATTTGCCATAATTCTAGTTCAACACTTCTTAGCATTTAAACTGGATGGTAGGGACGCCTGGGTGGCTCAGTCAGTTAAGCATCTGTCTTCAGCTCAGGTCATGATCCCAGAGTCCTGGGATTGAGTCCCACATCGGGCTCTCTGCTCAGCAGGGAGCCTGCTTCTCCCTCTGCCTGCCACACCCCCTGCTTGTGCACGCGGGCACGCTCTCTCTCTCTCTCTCTGACAAATAAAATCTTTTAAAAAATAAATAAATAAATAAACTGGATGGTAGAACACTCACCTTTTTGACCTCAGCTTCAAGCACTAAGTTAAATAAGAATCTTTAAATCCGTTTCAAAGAGGCCTTGCCACACGAAATGTTTGGAAAAGCAAACTTTTCTTCAAGAAACTTACCAGGACTGAGAAGAGACCAGTCACACCAGCACAAGGCCGATTACAAATGTACTTTTGACTTCTGCAACATAGATCAGAACTGGATAAATATCTAAGAACACTCCCTCCATGTCCTTCTAGTGGTAGGACATAATACCAGAAAACACTAGATTCCAGCGGTGAGATACAGCCCAAATCGAGGTCTTAATATTGTCATAAATGATATATGAATATCACAGTGCTTCATCATACAGAAATGACACAAATATAAGGGGGTACTTTCAAAAGTGGAAAAACAGTAAGGAAGGCCCTCTTTAAAATTCAGAGGTTGCCCCCTCTGAAATATGGGGCTTTCTCAATTATGTTCTTCATGTCACTTTGGGCTTTGGACCCATCACTGATAAGCAGGTATACTGTAAGAATCTTTAAGCCACATAGGAAATGGTATTCTTCTGACTGGAATAAATCTGTCAGCAAAAAGGTACAGGCTAACTGCACTAAATACCCTCTGCAGGTTTTTATTAAAAATATACAGAAAAGTCCAGCATAGTGCCTTTACTGCCCACATCTGTTTGCTATTCTATCTCCATTATTAATACTGTAATGCAGGGTCCCCATTCAGGCAAGATTAATTCACTGTTCCCAAAGCCTTCTGCTGACATTGCAATGGATCTGTTTGGAAGGCTATAAAGGCAGGCCCAGGCATTGCTCTCGACATGTGATCAGTAAGGAGATGAGGCCTGGGCCCCCAGCTTAACAAGAGAGAAGAGGAAGTTGGGTTGGACCTGTGATCAGAGAGGTAGAACACCCTAGTAGTTAAAAGCTCAGACTCTGGACTCAAGACAGTTCAATTGAATCCTAGTTCTTTTCCTTTAGCCAATTCATTTACCCCTCAAGTGATTTAATTTTCGCATCTACAAAATGGAAATAACAAAAGAACCTGGTACGATTGTAAAGTATTTGATGTGATGATAAGATACTAAGAACTAAAACAAAGCAAAAAACAAACAAACAAACAAAAAACCCTGATGATTATCATCTTCATCATGATACCATCAACATCCCTAGAATCAGCCTCTTATGCAAGAAGAGCCCTGCTAGTCTTTCAACCTACACATGCTAAGTAGTCATCACCAAGATACCAAAAAGATAGTGTAAGAGGCAAAAAAGATACGACAAAAAGCAAAAAGCAGGAAAGGATATAATAATAGAAATAGAATCAGCTTTTGATTAACCATGCTGATGAGGGGGAAGGAAGACAACATTTAAATTGAAGAAAAGAGGGTGCCTGGGTGGCTCAGTCGTTAAGCGTCTGCCTTCGGCTAGGGTCCTGGATCGAGTCCCGCATCAGGCTCCCTGCTCGGCAGGGAGCCTGCTTCTCCCTCTGCCTGCTGCTCTGCCTGCTTGTGCTCTCTGACAAATAAATAAATAAAATCTTAAAAAAATAATAATAAAATAAAATAAATTGAAGAAAAGAACCCTTCTCAAAAAAGAGTGTAGATGGAACAGAATATTTGTGTTTGTTTTTTTTAATTATAGATAGTAACTTACTTGAGGACATGATATAATTGTTCAAGAGACAATAGAGCACAGTCATTAGGATAAGCTCTGCAGCCAGAACGCCTGCATGAGAATCCTGGCTCCACCACTTCCAAGCTGTGTGACCTTAAGCAAGTTATAGACTCTTTGTATCTCAGTTTCCTCATCTGTAAAATGGGGCAAATATGAGTATCCACCAGTATTCTATGGTTGTGATGAAAATAAAATTAGTTTATACATGCAAAGTGACTAAAAGAATACCTGGCTCATAATCAACGTTTAAGAAATATTAGCTTTCAGGGCGCCTGGGTGGCTCAGTCATTAAGCGTCTGCCTTCAGCTCAGGTCATGGTCCCAGGGTCCTGGGATCGAGCCCCGCATCGGGCTCCCTGCTCAGTGGGAGGCCTGCTTCTCCCTCTCCCAGTCCCCCTGCTTGTGTTCCCTCTCTCACTGTGTCTCTCTCTGTCAAATAAATAAATAAAATCTTTAAAAAAAAAAAAAAGAAATGTTAGCTTTCGTTATTATTAGTGTTGCTGTTAGGGTTTTAGCTGACTTAATACTAAGTTGACGTTTAACTTAATATTAAAATTGTCTAAATTCAGTGGTTATAGGAGCACAAAGGGGAGGCAGGTAGGATTTAGAAGTATACAGGGCAGAAAATGGGAGATAGACTAGAATAAAAAATGTACTATGGATAAGCTGAGCACAGATAACTACAGGTTACAAGGAAGTAAGTAAGATCAACAGAGGGAGAGAAATGGATATACTCATGATAAAGTAAGTAGAGTAAAATATTAATTGTAGAATCTAGGTAGTGGGTATTTGTGTGTTGGCTATAAAATTCTTTCAACTATGCTTTATGTTTAAGATTTTTCACTACAAGCTAGAAGGGGAAAAAAACAAGTATACTTAGAGGCATCAATTCAAATTCTGGGTCATAGCTATTTTGCCTGTCCTCTGAGCTCAAACAGCAGAGCAGCTTGGAAAAACCTGATGGTTTTAGAACACTTGCTCATCATCAACACTGTCCTGCACCAGATGAGCAGAGTTCGGGTGCTGACCTGGATCACTCTGGCGCAAGCAGATACAAGCAGAGGGCAGAAACCCAGAGGTTCTACCTGAGAAGTGCCAACCACATAGAACTATGACATTATCACCCCTGCTCAGGGAAACCCCAGAAATATGGCTCAAGGCTAAGGAACAGACAGGTAGAGGATGGGCAAGTGCCATACACTCACTCATGGACTCTGCTGTCACCATAGAGATCACTCAGGCCGAAGCTGATGTAATGCCAGTGTTCAGGGATGTTGGCAGAAGGGCTCCCCACGTTCCTGTACATGCTAACATAGTCCAAGGGGTCTGGGCCACCCAACCTGCAAAAGACAAAACACAGTGGAGTCAGTGTAAGCCTGAAAGCAGACAATGTGAAGCTAAGAGGTCATGCCTTACAAATCTAGACCCCATCCTGGAGGAACCTAGGATGACTAAAAGGCGGCCACACCTCCGGGATAAGACCAAGGGAGGGGCGGCGAGAAGTGCCCAATTCCATAAGCACAAGAGGCTCCCTTCGATCCCCAACATGCAGGACCCCTTTTAGAAATAAAACAGACTAGATGGTTACCCCTTTTACTTCCTCCTATTTCAAATTACCAATCCCAAATGGGATTGGCAGGAATTATCTCTCTTCCGTGGTGCCTGTAAACATGCCAAGCTTCAAGGCAAGAGGTGCATTAGTCAATCGATTGGCTTCTGTTGAAAGACCATCCTGAGCATCCCCAATGGGCACTGTTCCTGGAAGCAGAGGCTCAGCTCCACTCCTGCCTCTTACACAGCTAATTCCTGAAAGACTATATTGTGCCCTATGTTAATTACAGTTTGTTCTAAACAAACCCAATGCCTCCAGACCCCAGCCTGCACCCCACAGACCGAAGCTGGTCTTTTCTCATGCAAGTGACAAAGGCCACACTTAGGCTAGCCCTGCACAGAGAACCGCAGCCGGCCGGACTGAGCCTTGGGAGCACCTGCATCCAGGAGATGATCCCAGGAGACTGTCGCCTCAAAGGTAGAGCTGGAATAGTAAATGATTTGGGGCCTCTGAGAACCACATTAAACATCCCCCATAATTCCAACAGAGAAGCAGCTGAGGAAGAGATTCAGTCATTAGCTCACTCTGAGGATTTAATTCCATAAGGGTTTCCTTTAGTAGAGCAATTAGTGCTCTTTAAAAAAAAAGAAGGAAAAAAAAAAGGGTCCTGCTTTTCTTCAGAATGGATAGGGAAACTTGGTAGACTTGAGAAACAGCCTAAATGGAAACCATCAGCGGAAGGAAGTCTGCATTTAGCCCACAAACACTCTGCATTTGAGCTGCCTCGGACATCTGACTGTTCTACAGACTGCAAAAAACTTTGCCTGCCCCTGGGACATTGATGGAGTGCACTTTGCAATTGGGATCGTACACTGAAGTAACACTAATAACCAAATAAAAGACATGTTACATGTGATCCCAGCAAGAGTGCCAGTACCATGCAATTTAAATACTATTTAAAACCAGTAGGTCTGGTTTCATCCTCTTTTGCCAGGGTATTACTTGCCTTTATAGAAATCCTTATTCTCTGCTAGGAAATGCTAAGTTATTTATAGAACTTGTAAGAAAGTTGCTCCAAATAGCTAAGAATCTCAACTGAGTGGATTAGGAAAAGGGACAAATCCCCATGTCTTTCCTTAACTCTGATTTGGCCAAATCATTTGAATACTTCCACAACCAGTTGAATATAGAAAAGTTTGCTGGGGGAAGGAGGAAACAAAAGGGTAGCAACTACATGATAGCTGCAGAACCCCGTAACAGATCGGAGTGACTACAGGCTCCATATCTGTTCCAGTTTCCTGCTTCAAATTCCCAATCTTGCCCCTCCTACACCTAGGTCCATCCAGCAACAAGTGGCAAAACTGTATCCACAGTTCCATGCTCCATCTGCCATACCTCTGCAGCCCTCTCTCAGGAGATACTACACCAAGGAATGGGCCTTTACCTTAAAACTACAACTGCAAGGAATAACCAAGAGTCAGACAAAATTAACCTTGTCCCCAAGTACAGTGTTCTATTCTACTTACTCAGAAACCTGATGGGAATCAGATGAGTATATAGAAAATAATCATATTTTGGGGGGCAAACAGGAATGGGAAACAAGAAAGGACCATTCCTACCCCAAGGGCAGCCCTTCTGTAAACAGGTCTGATCCTTAACAGAGCTACTTGAGGGTTACTCTCATTTGGGGGTGGCTCAGCTGGTTAAGCAACTGCCTTCAACTCAGGTCATGATCCCGGGGTCCCAGGATCAAGTCCCGCATCAGGCTCCCAGCTCAGCAGGGTGTCTACTTCTCCCTCTGACCCTCTCCTCTCTCATGCTCTCTCTCAAATAAATAAAAATAAAATCTTAAAAAAAAAAAAAGAAAAGAATATTTTGCACTTAGAAAAAGATGTTATCCAAGGACCCAGAGCATCCCTTGATGCTCTTCCTTGAATTCCCAACTTCACTCCACACGCCAGTTGCAGGACCGCTGTGGCTCCAGGGTATAAGCTCTGCCTCCGTGTTTCTGCTCCCTGCTCACTAAAGTCTCAGCTTTCAGCCAGGATGTCCCTGCTGGCCAGGGTCCACTAGCCAAAGAGCCAACCTTCTGTCACAAGAAAAGGAATCTCAAGGGACCCTGGGCCATAACCAGACCCAGGTAGCCTTAGTCAGTCAAACTGCCAACGAGGCCTTGTGGGATCCCAAATGTGAGGTATATCAATGAACTGATTTCAGAATCTTACTTAGGCAAACCCTTCCAAGTCTTAGAAAGAACCAGTCTTTCAGCTGCTCCTTCTTATATTTTTCTGCAACTAGCCAGCATTTCTAATTTCACAAAGTGCTCTTTATTAGTCATTACATGTTGGCCCATCTCTAAAGATAAGTCCTGCCTGGTTAACAAGCTTGCAGCAAGAAAAAAAAAGAAAAAAGAAAAAAAAAAGTTGCCCGAATCAGTCTTAGTCCTTTGCATGTGCTTTAATATCTTCTACACACAACTCTATCCTTCATGGCCAGCTGGGTGACAAAAAACTCTATCCTTCATGGCCAGTTGGGTGCCCAAGTCCGTGTAGGGATTTCTCCATACACTCAAATGAGGCCTGAACAAATAGCATCGTAGAACCTAGCCCACTTTTCTCATGACACAATCCAATAGAGTTCATTGCAATACATATTTAAATATAGACGTGCAATGAGAATGGGTCATTAAGTTATCAAGAGCTGCTTTTCATTCAGAAGCTCTCTTCAAAAACTGCTCTCAACCAAAGAACAGTTTGCCTGCAGAAGAGAACTGTACCACTGGCCATACCTCCTCCTGGCTATCAGACATGGCCCTCCCATAGGAGGGGGCTGGTCCCCAGGCCCTCCATGCTGTCAGTCTCTTCACACCCTCCCACTGACACAGGGAACTAGCCTCAGCCCTAGATAGTCTAGTTTCTGCCATCGCTGGAGGAACTTAAGAGGTTATCCTGGAGAAGATTCAGTCCTAAAGGGAGAGGTAACCAGCAAAGACATCCACTCTATCAATCTCCCCCTTTGGGTCTACCTGCCCCTTTGGCCACATTCCACGCTGCTTCCTGAACAGTCTTTCAGAACTCAATGAAGGGGATCATCTAATACAGTGCCTACATGAATGCAGTTCTGGACAGATTCAACCAATTCCTCAATTTGGTCCAGAAAAACCATGAAGACAGGCTCTTTGTCAGAGTCCCCTGAACACCTGCCTTGCCCAGAGGATGTAGAAAGAGACAGGTTGCAAACAGGAATGGGAAACAAGAAAGGACCATTCCTACCCCAAGGGCAGCCCTTCTGTAAACAGGTCTGATCCTTAACAGAGCTACTTAAGGGTTACTCTCAGCTTCCCTGAGAGACTGTTGCCTAAATCCTGAAGCTTGTGGCCAGGAAGCTCCTCTTAACATCTCGCTGCACTTCTTTGCTCCGTGTCCAAGTCCCAGGTCTTCATTATTTACTGTGGTCCCCTTCAATCCTGAGCCAAACCATGGATCTCCCTGACCCGGCCTCTGTTCTAGCCAATGTCCTAAAGCAAAGCAGCTGCACAGCCAGAGGAAGCTCTGCTTAGAGAAAGAGAACTGTGCCGAGTAAGCACAAAGTTTATCAAGAAAAGTTGCCCCGTGAAACTTCAAACGCAAAAAGCACAGCACCGAAATGACTGACGTCTGAGCTCATGGGGACGGTATCAAAAGGAGACCTCCTCTTCTTCTCATCACAGGCACAACTCTCGAAACTTGCTCCCCTCCTAACCTACGGGAGAGCGGGGGTCCCCAAATCCACCCGTACCCTGTGCAGTCTCGAGCCCTCTGAGCTCTGCCAGCCGCACTCCTCCAAAGCCCTCTCATACGCTCCGCAAGCCCCGCCTTGCCTCCCCCATCCCACTTCAGCCGCCCCCCGCCCCCGGCTTCCCCTAGCCCACTAATGACCCCCTACAGGCGCCCCCTCCTTTTACCACGTTTACAGTTCCTTCTCTCCTATCGCAACCCCCCCCCGCTCCTACACACACCCCCAATTCACTCTGTTCTCCCAATCCCAGTTAACCCTTCATCCTCCCCCCTCGTTAACCCTTCGCTACCACAGGCTCCGTTAACCCCTTTGTCCCCATTCCCAACTTCAGCCTTAACTCCTTCCCTCGCAGCAGGACGCCCTCCTTCCAAGTGCTTTAACCATTCTTCTCCACCTCCTCCTCCCCCGCAAATGACTTCGCCCCCGGGGTTCTAACGCTTCCCAGCCCGTCCCTGTCCGTCTCCCCGCGGCCCAAAGCATACCAGTACTTGACGATAGCGGTAACCTGGAGCGGGTTCGGCTGGTCAGGGTAAAGGCGACGGCACTCTCCGTAGATGGCGTGCAGTCCTGGGGGAAAGAGCGAGGCGAAGGCCGGGGGCGCACTAGGGCCAGGGGCCGGGGGCGCGGCGGGGCCGGGGGCGCCGCTAGGCCGCAGCTCCGCCATCCGGGCGCGAAGGGCGCTGGGGGGACCGGGGAGGGTGGACGAGGGGGAGAGCACTGACGCGCCAGCAGGCGGACTCCGTCGGTGCGACTCCCCGAGGCTATGGGGGCTGCAGCGAGGTCTAGGCTCCGCGCCTGCGCACAGTGCACAGTCGGCCCAGGCCGTAGCAGCCGCAGAGACGGCCAGAGGGTGCCTCGGGGGCCGCGGGGCGCTCAAGGGGGCGGGGCGTCGGCGCGCCCTATCCCGGTATCCATTGGGTAGTGTCTGTGCCAGTCACAGGTGGGGAAGGCGTGACTTGACAATAGGTCCTGCCTCCCTCTCCTGGCGTTGGCGGTGTCCCAAGGCTCTTGGCCTCCCCCTAGTGTTAGGAGGAACCCAGGTTCAAATAGAGACGTTGAGACATCTTAAGGTGCTAGGGTCCCACGAAAGCAGTGGGAAGTTCTCCGACAAAGGGCTTGTCATCTGCTGACACGCTGCTAACAAGAATTTAAGCATAAATCTGACAATAATGGGTTGAATCATTCATCCATTACTGTGATTTTAGTTTCAATAGATTATAATCTGAATGTTTCCTACCGTCGTTGAACGTCCATTTACCATATTTACTGACACTAACGCCGCCAAATTCAGGGGTCGTATGTTGAAATACTTATTTTGGAGTCCTGTTAAAAAGTAGGAAGAGTTAAGTAAACTAGGACTAATTAAAAAGACTTGGTAATTTTTTTATTTTTTTAAGATTTTTTTTTAAAGATTTTATTTATTTATTTGAGAAAGAGAATGAGAGACAGAGAGCACGAGAGGGAAGAGGGTCAGAGGGAGAAGCAGACTCCCTGCTGAGCAGGGAGCCCGATGCGGGACTCGATCCTGGGACTCCAGGATCATGACCTGAGCCAAAGGCAGTCGCTTAACCAACTGAGCCACCCAGGAGCCCTACTTTTTTAAGATTGTATTTATTTAGGAGAGAGAGAGAGTGCGCGCGTGTGTACGAGTGGGGGGGGCGCAGAGGGAGAGGGAGAAGCAGACTACCTGCGGCTGGATCCCAGGACCCCAAGATCGTGACCTCATGACCGGAGCCCAAGGCAGACGCTTAACCTACTGAGCCACCCCGGCACCCCAAGACTTGGTAATTTTTTAATAAATGCTATTAGTTATGACAATCTCTTCTCTTCTTTGTTCTGTTTTATGCAGATGTATGCAGATTGCCTTGAGGAACCCCAATATTCATTATCTACTGTGGAACCGCTCTTTCCCATTACATTTCACTCTCTGTAACTGGAAGAATTTTTTTTTTAATTTTAAGTGATCTCTATACCCAATGTGGGGCTCGAATTTACAACCCCCAGACCAAGAGTCGTATGTTCTACCGATTGAGCCAGCCAGGCGCCCCTGGGAGAATTTTTAATTCCTAAGGCACCTGGTTGAGAATTATTTTCCTGTGTACAATAAGGAATTCCAAGAAAAAGGAATAAAAGGAAGTCCTGATTACCAATGCTATTGACTAAAGGGTCCTAGCAACTTGAAGGGGGTTGGGGTTGCATAATCTGGAGAAAAATGCTCTGGGCCCATTTGAAAGTAGTGACACATAACTTCTCTTCACCTCCATTTTCTTATTCATCAGTGTCAATTCTAACTCTCCATGAAAATTAGAGATACTAAAGCAGTTCCTGAAGCTATTAAATGAACGATGTTTTTTTAATGACCAAAAGATCACCTGTACCCGTTGTTCCAAATGTCAGTCTTCAGACCAATGTTAGCCTTTGCAAAGTTTACACCCACCCAGGAAAAAATGCGAAAAGAACCAAAATGTGCTGGTTTTTCTCAAAAAGCAATAAAACTGAAATTGTTTTTTGTTCTGGGAGTATATCCTCTTTCCCCATGTGTGTGTGGTGGGGGTAGTATTGAATTCTCCTTTATTAGAGTTTGATGCTGATAAATGTTTATTAATGTCTTACTGACCCAAATAAAAGCATAGCAACCTTATACTATCCAGGGGAAGTAGTGGCACGACTGATCTGGAAAATCTAAACATCCACGAAATACTGGCCAATCCAAACCCAACTACAGACAAGTACTCAAGAAGACTACATACTTCAGCATGCACTGCGAATCCCTTCAAAGGAACTACAGATCCAGGCATGCAATACAGCTATCAATCAGCGTCCCCGTCTAGTCATCTACGGAGACTACAAAGCCCAGGGTACTATGCGTGGAAATGTGACGCCCTATTCTTAAATTAGGCGGGGCTCCGGAGCTGCCTGGCGCGGTATACTCAGGTGCAAGGCATGCTGGGGGTTGTAGTTCTTTGGAGGCGAGGTCGGGCCGCTCCCTGGATGCCCTGTACCGGCGGCTAGACTGCGCATGCGTGTCAGTGGCGTTAGCAGCGGACCCGGCTGGCAGTTCCTTCCTCGGAAGGAGAGATTCTTCTGCCATGGAGTCCTACGATGTGATCGCCAACCAGCCTGTCGTGATCGACAACGTGAGTTGCGTCTTTCCTATCTCTAAACGGATTTATTCTCTCTTCCCCAAAGGGATCGCTTCCCGGGTTTCGGCCTGGGCCACCGGCTCTTTGTCACTGGCCCAGCCTGTCAGGCGGGTTCAGCAGCCGCCGCCTCTGTCCTCCCCTCACCCGTAGTCCGCAGGCAGGGCGGCTGGCCAGCAACCATGGGATGGAGAACTTTGGGAGGGATAAAGGGAAGGGCTGTAGTCCGAGCCGGGTCCTTGGGCCCTTGGCTTGAGGGGCCTTAACCGCTTGTGAGCGCCGGGCGTCCGCCCCCTCCCCAGTTTCCAATAACTCTATTGGCTGTTCTGGCTGTCCATCTTGACCGATGGCCCCGCCTCTGGGCCTTGCCGGATGAGGGCAGCTCTCCGCAGTGATTGGCTTGCGCCCCTGCCATTCTTCCGGGCCGCCATAATGTTTCCTCTCTCTAAGGGGCGGGCGGGTGTGCAAGAGCTGTGGGGATTGGCTTCGGGAACTCAACAGTGGAGCGGCCTGACGGGCTGGGGCCCGCCCTCGTGTGGAGAAGGGCTAAGTTTCCTTGGTCCCCAGCCGGGCAGGCAGCTTGGAGGTGTATATGGGTGGGGCTCGGGAATCTGGTGCCAGAAATGGCCATAGGATTTCAGTTATTTCTGTGATTATAGATTACAACGTTAATAAAGATCCAGAAGAAAAGAGAGTGACCAAGCAAGCAGGGAGGTACCATCCTCTTCAGAACGCCTAGCAGCTGGGGAAAAAAATTACTAAACATATTTGCCAGGCGCTCAATGGCTGCAGGGGGAGTTTCACTTATATTCGAATTGAGTTCTCACAAAAATTGGGTGGATAGTTAAGGCAGGAAGTTTGTTCCCCGTTTTACAAATGGAAAAAAAAAAACCCACGAAGAGGTAAAGTGAGCCCAAGGTCACACGGTAGAGGTGACCTAAAACCAGTTCTTTATCTGCTATTCCTCTTGCTAGTAGTAGCCCACGCAAATGCATCAATAGTGACAAACGAAAAGAATCTAAATAACTGCTCTTATTTGGGGCGGAGGGTGACTGTTGTAAAACAGCTGCATCTGTCTTCCACTGAGAGGGCTCGTCCGGCCGAGATTGGTTGGGTCCCTCTATTGAGGGAAAACTCAGTTCTATCCGTCCTAAGCTGTCGGATTCATTGTTGATCCAGCCCTTGGGACCTTAGGCGTGTTACAAGGTGCCTTCGTTTGCATCATCTCCTTTAAGCGTTAGCTCTGGTAGGTGGATGGGAATTACTGTCCCCTGTTTATGCAGGAAAGTGAACCTTAGAGAGGTTAAATAGCAGTTAGTATGCAAGCCACCTGTCTTAGAAGTTGAGGAGCCAAGACTCAAATTGAGGTTGGGTTCCAAGTTTCTCATTTTTTCCGAGGAAAGGTGCTTGTTTGTTGTTAGCTTTCCTTCTCTCCAGAGGTATAGCTTCTGCCTTGAAAAGCAGGAGGGGGAGCTCAATGAGACACCTCATTTTGGGGAGGATTTTTTTTTTTTTTTTTTGGTCTCCCTCACTGGACTGTTAAATGCTTGGGGGAAAAGATAGCATTCTTTCATTTTTTTATTACTCTCCCCTTCCCACCTTCCTCCACACACATAGCACCTACAGCCTGGCACCACTGTGTGCTCAGTAATTGTTTTTTCATTGTACTGATGGGTGGGTGGATGAGTGACCAAATATCACAGTAACAAAGATGTCCTTAAATAAGGAAAGGACTGAAGTGGGGAGAGACTCCTAGTTAGTTACTGCAGAGGGCTGAATAGATCTTGTTCTTGATTCGATTTTCAGAGAACACTTTCTATCTTCAACCAGCTTGTATGTACTTCATCTGCATTTTTCTTAATTTTAAAAAGAAAAAATAGAAATTAACAATTTCCTGTTTTCATCAGCAATGCAGAAGCAGCAATCTCTCCATCCCATTAGATCCTTTGATTGGAATTTGGGGGCAGGAGTTCCATCTCCAGCCATTTTCTTTAATGTCACTTAAGCTAATGCTTTTTAGTTTCTCCTTTCTCTTTCTCCATAGTGTATTTGAAATGCATCAAAGCAGAGGTGCATTTTCAGTTTTAAGATTTAAAGAATTGATTTATTTTCTCTGGGAAAACATTTCTTTTTTTTAATTTTATTTATTTATTTGAGAAAGAGAGAAAGTGTGAGCGAGCGAGAGAGAGCAGGAGCAGGGGGGAGGGGCTGAGGGAGAGGGAGAAGCAGACTCCCCGCTGAACAGGGAGCCCGATGCGGGGCTCAATCCCAGGACCCTGAGATCATGACCTGAGCTGAAGGCAGACACTTAACTGACTGAGCCACCCAGGCGCCCCTGGGAAAAAGTTTCTTTTCTTATGCCAGTAATTCTGCCAAAAGGTGAAGTAGGAGAAATTCTCTCATTAGGATTTACTGAGCACCTGCCACATATTTAGATCTGGGACCTCAGGTAGTTCTTGCTGTTTGACATTTAGAGATTTTGTTTTGTCTCAAAGTGAAGGATGGATAGGAAAAATCATTTGAAATATTTGAGCCCACTTTATGAGAATAATGTGTATCTAGCAGATTTAACTGCTCCATAGCTTAACACATTGCTATAACTTTATTTCTGGGCAAAGGAGAGTGTAATTAAAAGAAAGGAGAGGGGCGCCCAGGTGGCTCAGTCAGGTAAGCTACATGACTCTTGACTTTGGCTCAGGGCGTGAT